AATAAATATAGATAGGAGTGAACAAATTACACATGATCCCAATATTCATGGAATGTACACTCTAGAGAAGGCAGTTGTTAAACAAAAAATTATTTAATTCTAATTAAAATAGTGATGAAATTAGAACTCTGTGATGTAACACCGAAAAATAATTACAATATAGCACTTTTTCATACGTATTAGGTTGCCCCATTTACTCATTTTTTATACTATACTGATATCATTGTGTTACACTGGTTATTTCTCATGCAACTTTTTACCATGTTAGCTTAAAACCATGGCACCCTAGTCTTATGAATAAATATAAACATACATTATTTTATAATGCATATGTACTTGAGGATAGTTATGAGGATTCTTGTGGAAACACAACTTTTTTAACTCCCTAATTTGAAAGTTTGAAATATTGTCTGGGAAAACTTCAGTTAGGTGACCTTTAATAATAATAAATGTTTTTCCAGAAATTGGAGCATCTCGAAGCCCTTGTGATGAAACTTACTGTGGACCTGCTGCAGAGTCTGAAAAAGAGACCAAGGCTCTGGCTGATTTCATCCGCAAAAACCTCTCTTCCATCAAGGGCTATTTGACAATTCACTCATACTCCCAGATGATGCTTTACCCTTACTCCTATGATTACAAACTCGCCGAGAACAACGCTGAGTTGGTAAGTAGTCATGATAGCATCTATGGTATTTCACCACTGAGATTTTCTTTTTATTCAAATCCTGAAAGAAAATTATAAGAAGAGTTCCTGCAAGTTCCATTATTAATTTTTGGTAGTAGAAGTGCAAAACATATTATAGATTTACAAGGAATCTTTAGTTAGCTATATTTGTAAGACTTTGATGCAGGAAACAGCCCATCACATGTGGTTTGTTAGTTAATCTTCAAATTGACAATAGTTCCTCTTCTTCCAACTCCACCACAAAGCTGAATCACATGATGATTTCTCTGGGGTTGGGAAAATCTACTAAGCACCTTGACCTCATGCATGCTCTTTGTTGTATAGTCAATTTCCTTCAGTTGGATTTGACAGAGTCAGAGCATTGGGAATTTTGTCATTTTGGGTCATTATTGAATTTAGCAATGAGATCCTAAAACTTTTATCTCCATAATCAGTGATGAACAATTGATATGAATGAGACTTTACTTGAAATAGGGAATGACTCAAAGGTACGTAAGCATCCCTAACTCAAAGAACTAAACATCTCCTTGAAGAACCAAGAAATAATCACATGAAAAAAAAAATAAATAATGTGGGTTTTATAATAAGTCACATAAACAGGTTTATACATCAAAGCATGAATTTTTTCATTAATTAGGACATTTGAGTTCTTCACAAATTTTTTTAATTTATGAAACATCTGGCTGCCAGAAGTTGAGATCAATAATATACAAAAGCAAGCATAAAATGTATAGTATTTGAGTTAGGTCTAAGAACACAGGTCCCCCACTTTGAGGACGGCATACGTACTTGACTGAATAAAGTTCATGCACTTGAAAAGCTAGTCACTTTAAAGAAACAGAAGTTGTTTTGACTTTCAGAGTCAAATAAATGTGTAATGCTATACATATTTTGTAAAAAGAAAAATGAAAAAATAACCCATCTCTTAGAAAATTGATAGCTAATAATTGACCTCATCTTATTCTTTACAAATTTAAAATTAAATAAAGCTTCCCAACTTCCCTATCTGTAGCCAAACGACAAAGGAAAATATCATTGTTGTAACCGTTAAATATTTTAACTTTCAAATAATGCTCTGTGGTGCTCACAATCCTGTTACCCAGAAATTGGTGTGGTCTATCCTAGGTTTCTGGCTACCAGAGAAGAGAAGGGTGGTAGTATGTTATCTACTTAATTCATATAAATGTTTAAATTTAACCACACAGAAGAGAAAAAAAAATCATAACAATTTATTAACTAATAAGAATATAAGTAAAATATCAAAATGAAAAAGTGTAAAACACATTAACTATAACAAAACCAATATATCTACTTTTTGTAATACCAACCAATCTTAAACATAAATACTACAAGAAAAATACCAACAGAAAAATGTGAAGAACTCTTCAGCTCTGAGCTGCTTCACAAAGATTTCAATACCTTTTCTTATTTGGGAATTTAATTTAAGCCTTTTTAACAATGGCATAGTATCATTTTCCCGTGGGCATCTTTCTATGAAATTCCTGAGAGGAGCTAACTGTTTTACTCAGACAAACATGACTAGGAATCAACTTGATAGCAACTGGCTTGGTTTTAGTTTAGCATTCTATCTTGGACTGCTTAAAAAGTCTCCAAATTATCCTTTAAACAAAATCAAACTAAATTTGGCCTTGGAATCTAGTGAATAATTTTTAATTCTTCTGGTACAAATTTTATACAAGAAAAGACCCAAGACTCAGGGTCAATTCTTGGATAAATGTGCCCCGGTGGTGTGAAAACTGACAGACAGAACGTGAGGCACTGACACTCTTGTTGAAGAATATTTCTTCATTAAAAGACAAGGAAAATGAGCTACAGTAGTTCCCCCTTATCTGTGGTTTTGTTTTCCGTGGTTTCAGTTAGTCATGGTCAACCATGGTTGCATATTTCAGTTGTGCACTGTTATGAGTAGTGTGATGAAATTTCACCTTCCTGGAGCTGGTTGTTGTTGTTGTTAAGTGCCGTCGAGTCGGTTCTGACCCATAGCATCCCTGTGTAAGGTTTCCAAGGAGCAGCTGGTGAGCTTGAACCACCAACCTTGTGATTCAAAGGACTTTGCAGTCAGTGCATTAGCCCACAGCGCCACAGCAGGGAATCTGGAAAACACAGCTGTATGAGCAGTTGTGCCATGCCCTGTGTGTATTTAGCGGGTTAACACTGTCTGTCTGGGGGGCACCCTGGGCACTTGTCACATAGGTATAGGAAAAAATTTTTATATGTTATATATCTTAATGATAAACAATTTTTTAGTGTAAGTTTGTCCCAAATATTTCATGGGACAGATGTAAACTAAAAATTATTCATTGTTTAATTTGAACTTTGAATTTAACTGGACCTGCCATGTTTGTTGTTGTTGTTGTTGTTAAGTTCAGATAGTTTATTTGAGAGGTGAAAGGAGAATGAGCAAGTGAAACAAGGAAGGGGAGGCAGCTCTAGGAGAGCATGCTATCAAACCAGCTTATGGTTCCAGGGAGCAATGGAAGAAGCATCATCCCATAGGGGAAGCTCCAGAAATCAGTGTATACATTAATGTACCTGAGTGTTAGCCCACTCAGGTACATTAATGTATATATATACCATAGCTCCATTAACCCAAGGGTTAATGGAGCTATGGTATATATGCCAACACTTTTCAGCTATTACTTGAAGGTTGTTCCTAGGAGCTTTATAAGTTCCAGGAATTTCCAAGTTGCTAAGTGTGTTCCAGAAGCAGGACACCATCAACTTAGAAATGCTGGAATTGGAAGTTGGACCAAGTGCATATAAATCCTAAGGGGGACATAAAATGAGAGGGACATTGACATCATCTACTATAATAATGAGCCCAAGCTACAAGATGGAACATTAAGAACAAATGAATATTAAAAATAAAAGTAAAAGCAAAAAGGATACTTGATCTCTTGTGTTAGTTAGGTTAGACTTGATTATGCTTCAGTTTAAAAAGTAGTAAAATATTAGTGGTTTATGTCACAAAAGTTTATTTTTCACTTAATGGTTTTCAGGGGACCTCTATGCATTGTATTTATTCAAATACTTAAGATTATGAATAGCTACCATCTCAGACATTGCATCATGCCGAACCAAAAAGAAAGTAGGGTCTTGTACTGATGATGAAACATTCTGACTTGTTCCAACCCTACTTACAAATGAACTAGTTACATGGCCCCAACCAAACATAAGGGGTGAACATGCCATCTACCCCATACCTAGAAAAAGAGAGGAGCAGAATAGAAGTAACTAGAGACTGTCACATGTCAAGACTAATATGAATTTCATATGAACAAAAGCTTAAATGGAAAATCAAATAAAAACCAAACCCATTGCCACTGAGTCAATTTTGACTCACAGTGCCTCTATGTGGGGTTTCCAAAACCATAAATCTTAACAGAAGCAGACAGCCTCATCATTCTCCCGAGGAAAGCCTGGTGGGTTTGAACCTCTGACCTTGGAGTTAGCAGCCCAACTAAACCACAGGGCCCATAATATAGAAGACATATGAGTGAGTATTATATAATTTTTTTTTCTTAAATGATTTATTGTGAATTATGTGACAGTTTACATGGGAGAACATTAGTTTTACATTCATTCTATCGTATATCGTCTCATTGCCATGGTTACAATCCCCTCCATGCAATCCTTCCCCCGTGCCCCCCAGGTCTTCAGCACACAGTCGCTCTCCCTCTCTGGATCTAAAGTCTCCAGCTGCTCCATAGCTCCACATCATCATCTCTGGCTCCATTTCAGGCATCACTGCTTCTCTGGGTAGGGTCCTGCTCTCTGCTCTTCTCCCTTGATGGTCCTAGGGCATGCCACGTTTTTATTCCCTATATCTGGCTATTGCTGCCCTACTGGTAAAGAGAGATTTTAACCAAATTGACAGGTGTTTAGGAGATGGCTCCACTAGCAAACAGGAGAGCAAAACAAGCCATCCAGTGCACCTTTAAAACCAGTGGTGTTCCTTTTAATTTTTTTCCCTGGGGGGGAAAAATAACTCTAGTTTTCTATAATTTTGTCTTTTAGCTGACTTTCCTCTAAACCACCACCCACCCCCATTCCCTTCCCAGAGACCATGTGGCAATGTTTGAAGACATTTTTGATTGTCAGCTGTGGGGAAAAGGTTCCTACTGTTATCTCATGGGTAGAGGCCAGGGATGCTGTGAAACATCTTACAATGTACAGAACAGCTCCAAAAACAAAGAATTATCCAACCCAAAATGTCGATAATATTGAGGTTGAGAAACCCTGCTTTAAACAAAGATAAGAGCAGAGTCACATTCCTGGCTAAAGGCCCTTGGCTTCACAGGATCCGATACACCCCTCACAAATAGTTTACAATGCTCTGTAAATCTGAAATACAAGAGAGCCTGTATGTTCCCCTTACACAGTATTTACTTTTTCATACTTCTTTAAAAGAAGCATCACTTGCACACTCACACACAACAAATCTCTGGATTTTGCAAATCCAGCTGACTCATGTTTCTCATTTTTCTTGAATTTTAAAGAGCTTAAAAGTATCTATGCAGATCAGCCAAAGACAAAATTTGGTTTAAATCAGTGAACACATTCCCATCGACCCTGTGGGCTCTACAGAGATTTCTCTCTGAAGCAATCTTTTCCTCTTCTAATACCAGGATCTTGCAATCAACGTTTGAGCCTGTTTACCCTCCTCTTCTTTTTCAGAAACAAATTTATTTTTTATCAAGTCAAATTTCTTTTTTGTGCCTGTTCGTAGGCCGGAAGGACTTTTCCTTTTGCAGGAAAAAAGTTGTTTGTTTGTTTTTTCACTTTTTATTGTGAACTGTTTCGTTTCAATAACTGCCTCCCTGCCCTTCACTATTTCCACCCCACCCACCTTCCCATCTCTTCTCAACTTTATCCTTAGGTATATGTTGCCCTTTTGATTGACCATTCCATGATGAGCAGTAGCATAGTGGTTACAAATCCGGCTGCTAGCCTCAAGG